CAAAAGGACACAAAAATCGGTTTACTGCGTTCAGATTACAAAGAATCTGTTTTCCAAGTTACACTCTTATCTGGATACTTCCATTTTGAATCTTCCATTCTCCTGTTAGACAACATTTTTAGGGCTTTAATCAATAATTAGTACTGACGATGCTGTCTAGATGGACGATGAAAGCACCGCAATTAAACTAATCATCTAGTTAAGAGAAAGAAACTACAACAAGAAACACCTCCACTTGAGGTGGAAATCTTCTTTATTATTTTTAAGGTTAACACGTTTTACAATGATCAGTGCACTTTCCTACATTTTTGAAATTTCACGGGTTAAATATGAATCGAGACACACCCACACACACAGGTGCGCGCAAACACGCTCCAACTAGTTCCATATAATGTTCCCTTGTATCAATTTAGCTAATTACAAAACAGAATTTCCTTGTATATAAAACAAATGATCAGCCGTTTTTTTGTAAAAAAAAAATATACAACAAAACAAACGAAATGAAAGACATGGAACAATGCAGAACAAGTCATCTGTTAATTGAACATAAACAACAAATGTGCATTCAGCACAGTACGAACTATCCGAAACAAGCGCGAGGGGGTGGGGTGGGGGTAAAAGTAATGACAACTTCTGTTCCATCTCCATCTAGTTAATGCCGTTTCGTGAAAAATTCTAGTTTTTACAATAATTTGTTTCCTAACTTGACGAAATGAAGGAATATTTTTCAGGTAATTCTATATGCTCCTCATATATTAATACATAAGCCTTTACAAAATATGTACCAAATGAAAGAACGATGAGGTATCCTGTTAATTATGGTGAAGTCCCCATTTTGGTTTCCTAATAACATAAGAAAATATAACTGTCTGCTTACTTGTTGATAAGCCATGTTGTGGCCAGCGCTACTGATAAGATTTATCAGTAGTATATTTATATAAAGAGATGTTTATCGGCATAAAAACATCAAATAGTAGGGAGATACATTTTATTTCAGAGGAGGCGAAGATACAGAGCTGCCGAAACACAATATGGAGCCTCAAATTAGCACAACATGGAAGATCTGTGCAAATGGTGCGTTGATGATAAGGTATACATGATTTGGTTATTAACAGATACCGATTACCACACAAACACTATTTAACCGAGTCTTTATCTTCTACCGTTTTAATATTGACAATTCATTAATTGCAGACAAAGTCAGTCAACACATCTCAATTCCCCGCGACTAGCTTCCACTGAAAATAACTCTCAAGGAGAATAGGCAATAGGTATTCTGCTTAATGAAAGCTCGTTTACAAGAAATCCTACCAATAAACCCTACGTAGGAAGTTGAATAAACCGTTATTAAGCACTTTTCCAGTCGAAGAAGAACATCTTGAGATTCTTGAAAATTTAATCCCGAAGATCCCAACCAGGCAGGCTACAACTCTTATGTGGTTTACACAAACCGAATGTCAAAAACTCCATGGAGTTAGCTAACACTGACCAGCGAGGAGGGTGGTGGACCGGAACGCACAACGCACATCCCAACCACCTCAATCAATGTAGCTTCAGAATCTTATCGATCGACTTCCCCTCCTCACATAATAATAATAATAATTAAAATGTGACTATTATTATGATTTATTCACACAACAGAACAGAATAAACATCCTACATGTATTTTAACAACCAATAAATAAGAGATGATTACAATATCACATATTACATGAATCATACACACATAGTCGAACTAAGAAATCAATTCGTCGTAGTTTCAAAGGTTAACTAAACTGTAAATACGCATATTCATAATCTTAATCGAAGCAATAATGAATTAACTTATGTCATCACTAATATATATTTTATTACCTGTGTGGGGTAACACAGACTAACAGAACAAAGAATATGCTTGATTTAAACAACTACGCGTAAAGAGCGTTCAATTTATATCACATTTATGTAATGTAACACCTACACGATTTAACTGCCGAACTAGTAGTAGTAGGTGTTTGCAATAGAAATAAACCAAACCAAGGATAAAATTGCAAAACATTAGCTAAGCAACCACCACTCACTCAGCTAGCTTGCAGAAAATGCTGGATAGTAGTATAGAGGTAGAAATATTCTGAATTCCCTATTGATTAATTATATTGGATAAGAATGCTGCATCGAGCACAAGAGATACCACTCTCGGTGTCAGCACTTGAAACGATGGGTGCTGGGTTCAACTCACAATGTGGCAACAATCACAGGTAGATCCAGTTGAACGAATCCCAAGTAAGAAGAAGCACCCATTCTATATTCCACTGTTAGCAACTAACAACTTAATAGCACCATCGATAGACACTGCTTTGTTTTTAGAAAGGTTATCTCTCCTGTCTCTTTGTAAAACGAAGAAAATAGGTGTATGTTTCGAGAATTTAGACACTTTAATGTGAGTGTAAGACTTGGACACTGTGAGATAATTGTTGACACCCATCAAGAAGACGCATTTTAAAAATGAGAGAAAGTTATACTGCCTTCTGCATTTAACCCAGACTTATACAGTACTGGATATCAGAGATATTTTAAGCCACCAATGTAATTGGTGGGGGGGGGGGGGGGAGGTCAGCAGTGGAATGCTTGCTAAATACGCACGTAGTTCCAGGTTCATTCCCGGGCAGACGCAATCATATAACCCCGCAAAGACAGTAGTAAGTCCGGTGGTAAAAAGGAAGGTTAGACGTGACATTAGCAACCCCACCCCATGAGTGAAAGAAACTTCAAAGCTCAAGCTTGAAGCCATAGATTCCATCACTCGAAAGGCAAACTCTCATGACCTACAGACTACTTGGAATTGCGATTCTTGTAAAAGAATCAAAAGAAAACAAAATCAGTGGTAGAATAACACTGGGGAATATGCTATAAGATCGAGGCGCATTCACTATGTGAACATGATAATCTCGTTTGATCAGATCACCAATAGTATATATTCATAGCATAGTAAAAGGCGAAAGCGGGGAGAGAAACGGATGGAAAACAGAAAAAGCTGTTGAGTTGTTACGTTAATTGTTTGCTTTTTTTTCTGTTTTTCGTCTATTCCCCCATCCCGTCTAGTCTTTCTACTTTGCTATCTATACACAGTGGATGCCAACTCGAACATTTTGAATGGCCTCATTTTATAACATACACTTCGATTTGAATGAATGAAGAAAAACACGAACATATTTACAGGATAATACGACCTCGTTTTATTCTGTGGATCCTCTTCAACAACACACATCTTGGACAAAATCAGTTATATTAGCCTCAAAATTTTTGAACACCCTTCCTACAATGTCTTTGAGTTATATAGATAAAAACTCAGAAAATCTTTAGTAGTTGGAGAAACTACACGAAGAATTTTGCACAGTCCCGAGAAAAATTCCTATACACATTATAGGACGTTAAACGAAACTAAACTGAAACTGAAGCTCTGTCTCTAGGATTCAGGTATCACGTACCAAACTCATTTATCCACAGAATTGACACAAAAACGCAGTTTGAGTACATTTACGATCAACTATCTAACTTGAAACCCATAGGAGAGGATGAAAAAAAAAGTTCAGTTTAATATATGTGTAAAATTTGGGCACTGTGGTTGTTTGTTAGATGTATCTCACACAGTGAGGAAACAGTATTATTATTTACTGGATGACACAGTTTCGAACAAAATTTATTTTTCACAATCATAACATCAACTATAATCACACAACTTCGAAACTTGAGTTTTGCAGTTTTCTGTGTTCTCTCCTATCTATCGCAGGGTAGTAGAATTTTCCAGATGTCTGTTATCAGTCTCTCCCTCCACCCTGTGACATTAGATTTTAAAACTGTCATCCTATCCCATCCTGTTGTATGGCTGTGTGTAACTGCATGCAATTAGTGCTATAGCTGAACTATTCTCTAGATTTCTTATCTTATTCGGATCAACCAATCTAGATTTTGCTAGGTTTTTATGTTCGGCTAGTCTGACTGCCTCTGTTCTACTAGTTTGACCTTCTATGTATTTGACTTGACAACCATTTCAGGCAGCGTATTAGATAAACTAAATTGTTTTGTTTTAAAGGTTCAATTGGCAGGATCCTTTAACCGACAAAGCTTGTTTCTAATTGAGTTTGTGGTTGATTTGAATGCCAGCCACTTTTATTCCCGCCTTGTTAAGAATTCTCCGCTGTAAGGTTTCCGAAGTTCCTTCTTTGTATGGAATTACTACTGATGACTTAGATTCCTTATTGTTGGTGTCGCCATTAACATTATTATTATTATTTTTATCACAATTATTATTCTCATTATTATTGTTGTCACTATTATTATTATTATCACTATCGCTACTATCATTATTTATTTTATTTTTACATTTCCCTACACACTTTATGACTAAATTATCAGCGTAATTATTAATTTTTAAAGCTTCTCCTACATGTATCACTTCCTGTCTTAGATTTTCCTTGGTACTAATTAGTTTTTGTGCTCTATTACTTAGACATTTCACCAATCCTATTTTCACTGACATAGGATGGGATGATCGGAAGTCCAAATATCAGTTCGAATGTGTGGGTTTCCTGTAAACACATACTAGTGTTTAACTTTCCATCTTCCTTCCTTTCTACGTTGCAATCTAACATTGGAAGCTCACCTTTCTGACTTTCCAATTCAAAAGTGAATTGAATTGCCTCTACCTTCGAGTTGATGTGTTCGAAAAATCTATCTATATCTTGTGTTCTGAGTACAGTGAATGTGTCACCTACATACCTCCATCACACTTTTGGGGTGGGGGTGAACGTTTCAATCGCCATGTTTTCCCACCTATTCATGAATATATCTGCTACAACCAGGGATATGGTGATCCCATGGCAACTCCCTCAGTTTGTTTGTAGATTTTCCCTTGGAATTTAAATACTGTGGAAGTAAGGCATAGCTGCACTCCCAGCATTATGTCCTCATGTGGCACCTTCGCCAGGATCAACGGAGAAATAAAATAAACAATTACTTACCTCTATACTATCCGGATAATTATTCAAAGGGTAGATACACGTAACTTGTGGATTTCTTCTTTCAAGGTGATATTCATTTCCATGTGGTGATGAATACCATTCAACAGAAGATGTAATCAACTGGCGATGATTATCCAAACTTTTATTTGCATTGTGATTTGTATTAGAAAAACTATTCAACGAGGAACTAACAAAAAAGTAATTGAAGATTAAAAGTAAAAGATAATTTATAACGTAAATAAAAGCCATCACATAGAAGGTATACTTATACACTGAGAATAAGAATGAACACTACTAGTAAGATATAAACGATAAGCGATAAGGAAAGTTTATATTGCCATCTCGATATCATTGAGTATCATTGGAATCCAAGCTGCACATTTCGTCTTCATTGAGACTCATCAGTCACATTTACCTGCATCTCCATTGAGAGATGGTGTTCCCCTTGAGACGCGTAAACAGCCGCCACAATTTCAAACGTCAAAGTGTTATTCCCTAGATTTCTGAGGGTAAAAAAACATCTGCCTTATAGCACAATGACTATCAATTTAGACAGACACCAAGCACATCTGTCAAATAAAAAGTAAATCAACGGGAAATACAAGATAGCTCAAGTGAATGCCATCCACTTGACGTCAGTAAGGTAAAACAAAAGTTAGCCAGACAAGAGATGTTCATCTAAAGATAGCAAAAGTGTAATCTTGATATGAGAAGACGCCTGTGACGACTTATTAAAAGCAGTTATTGATTTTTTATCTTCTAAAAACCTCCCTGAAATCTATTCCTATCGATTATTGAATAACGAGAAAAGTTTGTCGTCACATCATAAAATATTTTCAACATCAATGTCGATTATCTAGAGGCAACAAGTATTGATTAACTGCAATTTGATGAAGTACTGAAAAATAGAGAAATAAGAGAACTAGCTTCGTCACATTATTGATCCAGATGTGGAAAGTAAGGATAGAATTTCATGTTAGATGGCTGGAGATAATCGTTACGATGTCTTTGATCCAAAAGCAACTGACATTCCCTAAGAGATGTGAACAGTGTCACTCAGCGCTGCAATCAAAGAATTTATCGCTGAGTTGTTCAATCGAGAGCCTATAGGACTACAATGGACACATTGATCCTTCAACAGGCTGTAATCAAGCTAGCATTTGCAGACAGCTTCTCAACCAACTGTTGGAAAATCATATCCTAAAATCGATCTACATAGGTAATTTGCTTAAGATTTACCTTAACTCAGTGTAACTTTTGACGTGAACCCAAACCATTTGGGGAGTCTCTGAAAACCAAGGAGCACTAGCCAGATACTTCATTCCTGTTTGAGAGTCCTTGAAAACAAGCAGGACCTTCAGGTTATGTGGAGAGCCCGATAACTATTAAGTCTCAGTGTAGGGACCTAAAGACCCAAGAATTCTTAATTCAGCCAATATATAGTGCACATATAGTGCAACCGCGTCAATCAACGTCATTGTTAGGATCCGCTTCAAACTTGAGGTGGTTGACCCAACCAGTCACGATTTCTCAGTCGTCTTACGAATTTTCCATTAACAAATTCTTACATAGAGTTTACCAAATTACCCTCCCTATGAGAAACCAGAAAGGTATTCAGGGTGATATACAGCTCACAGTAATTTACTCTGAGTTACACATTGTAGTTTAATAGAATGACGAAACAACATACACACCTGATAATTAATGCTTCCAAAGAAATGATAGATAAATTGTCTAACATCTAAGTAACCGATGATAAGAAGACAAGAAGATAAGATGACTTCCAATGCCAAGAAACTTCGTCAGCTAAGATATCCGAGTTACCACCGGCAAAAAATGATCAACTAGTATACACCACAAGATTTATTTGCGGTTGAATTAGGAGTACTTTCGAGAAGAGATTAAGTAGAGACGGGCTGGAGTGGTGATGTCACTCCACGTTCTCCTCAGCTAATGTCCAATCCAATTCCAAAGTTCCATGTTGCTTATTCTTACTTGCTAGCCATGTGATCTTCAGTATGTATGTAGTGAAGACTTTTTTTATTCCTTTACGCTTCCAGTGGAACATAGGGCTTCAAGCTAGAGCTTTGAAGTTTCTGTAGCAGTGGTATTTATTTTTACGGGATGAGGTTGCTAGCCTTATGCCCAACATCCCCTCTTCACCAGTCTTATTACTGGCTTAGCAAAGTAAACGAGTGCGCCCAGTGGCCGAGAATCGAACCCCGAACCACCTGTGTGGTTGACGAGCATTCTACTGCTGTTCCAGCAAAACACATCAACATTCTCACCAACTCTAGCAAAGGCCAGTGTTGAGAGTCATTTCCATGATGCGCGCACTCAGTCTGAGAACTAAATGGAATCATTGACGTCACATTGATGTTGAAGACCTGGATCGTGTTCCTTATGCTGAGTGCGGCAGATTTCCACTCCGATTTTGTTTCTAGCGTTGACGCTACTCAGATTAAGTAAGTGGAAGAGACAACTTCCTTCAGATTTCTCCCACTGATGGTTATTGAGATGGTTAATGTTGTTGTTATTGCTGTGGCTGGTTAGGGATATCTTCATCACCTCCATCTTCACTATGTTCACTTGAAGTCCAGTCGTCACTGCCTCTTCTGTCAACCTGTCAGTTTCGGCCGTCGATATTCTAATTTGTATAGCCTTAAATGTAAATCAGTGACTAAATGGTCAGTTACAATCATAGGGGCATCAGTTTGTTACCAGTTGCATCTAAAATATTGGCTGCTGTCTTGCTTCTCAGGTTGTGCAAAACGCATGAGGAATCGATTTGCAAAGAGCAGGCTGGGTTTCGTTCAGGTCGTGAATGCATTGATCATGTGTTCACCCTTTGTCAGGTACTGGAACTCCGCTACACGTATTGCAGGCCAACAATCGTTGTGTTTCTTGATATTAGGACTGTTTTCGATTCATTGGACAGAACTGTGCTCTGGAACTGTCTGTTAGAGAAGGTTGTACCTGAGAAATTTGTTAACATCCTGAAAGTCCTATACAGAAACACCTCAGATAGAGTGAGGGTATACAACCAGTTATCATCACTGTTCCCAACCAACAGTGAGGTTAGACAGGGTTGCCCAATCTCCTCATTTCTCTTCAACTTTGCCATCGATGACATTCTGGAGTCAGCTCTGAAAGATGTGCGTGAAGGTGGTGTAGATCTGCTACCTGGAGATAGACTTTTCGACCTCGAGTATGCAGACGATATCGTCTTACTGTGCGATAGCATGCAGGTTGCCCAAATCGCACTTAATCAGTTGGCGATCAGTGTCTGTAAGTATGATATTTGCTTTGCGCCGTCTAAGTGCAAAGTACTGTTACAAGATTGGCAGGAGCCTGTATCTGCACTCACTCTTACCGGTGAACCGCTTGAAGTTGTTGATACGTGTTTGTACCTAGGTAGTTGTGTGACTGCTGGCAGAGGGGTGACGGATGAGATTTCCAACCGCATAATGAAGGCTAGGGTGGCATACATCAACTTGAGCCACCTCTGGCGCCGTCGCGATGTTAGCCTGGCTGTCAAAGATCGGGTATACAATGCTTCGGTGCCCGCTGTCTTGCTCTACGCCTGCGAAATCTGACCTCTCTGAGCAGAGGATATGCGGCGACTCTACGTGTTCGATCATCGCTGTCTCCGCAGGATTGCTTGCGTTCGAGGGCATCATCGTGTGAGTAATTCTGAGGTTCGGCGGCGTGTGTTTGAACACAGTGGAGATCACCATTCATTGAGTTTCGTCATCTGGAAACACCGGCTTCGGTGGCTTGGACATGTGCTCCGAATTCCATCCCAGAGGCTTCCGTACAGGTACCTGTCCCCTATCCCTGAGACGGGATGGAAAAGGTGGAGAGGTGGTCAGTCCATGACGTGACATCGTGGGATGAGGGATTTTTGTGCTAGATTAGTATCGGTTGGTGTGTCACGACTCCCTGGTTGGGGTCCGAGAGATAGCTCAAATCGATGGCTCGAAACGATGTCAGATATGGCCAAGAATCGTAATCAATGGCGAACGTGTTGCAATTTCTTTCTTTCTTCCGTTCCCGGTGATAGTTAACTAATACCGTTTGAACTTGTTAAGCATGACTGTTTTCCTTCCAGATGAAATTCTTTATCCGTTCTCTACTTATATTGTTTTTTCTTTCTGAACTATGTTTTATTATTATTGTGTGGCACATCCTTCTTGGTGCCATATTGTACCAAGTTTTTTATGCATTCAAATAAATAAAAATAAAATGAATAAGACTAAGTGGTCAACAGGCACAACTGGCGAACGGAAGGTCTTTTGTCTGACTCTCGCTTGAGTCACAGGTGTGCACTGAAGAGTCTATATCACCGACGGAACAGTTGTAAAACACTCCTAGTTTACGAGTTCACTAGCCGCCGAGGAGGTTGGACGTAAGGCCAGTTACGATACGCCAGAAAATCAACCCAGCCGCAAGAGAAGCTTAAAAACACGGAACAAATATAAAAAATAAACCTATTCTCTGCTGGTCAAAGCCTTCGGGAAGCCAGTGTCTTCCTTTGATGACAGCGAAAAGCAGGTGTGCGGACATGGAATGAAGCCCAGAAGGCTGTCTTGTTTGTTATTAGTCTATGAAAATGCCTTTTACTGAGATGTGTCCTCTTCCTAACTAAGTTTTTCTAAATTCCAGGAGTAAGTAGGACCAGAACTACCAAACTGATATATACCGATAATCAATACAGATCATAAGATTCCAGTGGAAACTTCAAAGGTGTATGTTTTTCCTAATTTAGGAAGCGAAATCACAGTTGACTGGAACGGATGTTTTATTGTTATATACAACCACATACAATTAATTATACATTATGTCTGATAAATTATGAACACAGAAGACACTAACCTGTCATATGTCATCCCGACAGACGTTCTAGGAATCTCTAAGTCTTGATTTAAACAAATTTCACTCTTTGTCTTTTGAAAGGAGACAGAAACATTCGCATCACTTCGATCACTCAACAATGATGATGTAGAATCCGTTGGAATACTCAACCTTGAAGAAGAATTAAAATTATGAGGAGTAGTTGACGACTGACGAATATTATTCATAGGCAATACTAATGGTGGTGTATACAATTTACTGGAATTCTGTTGTGTTGTTTGAACAGGTGAATTGAACAGTCTAGCAAAACTATACAAATATAAAAGAGAGAAAGAGGTTAACTGGAAATATAATGCGATTTACAAGGCTTTAATACGTCCACGTTTATTCCCGCCATTTTGTAGTCTTGATACTTGTTCAGCTTTCAGATTATGCGCTAAATGAACAGCTTCTTGCAGTTCTAAAAGTTGTTCTTTGTACTGATTCCTTTCGAGGAGAACACGTGCCATTTCTACACGTGAGAAACGTACACGCATAGATAGTGGAAGATCCTAGGAAGAGAGAAGAAAGAAATACGTGTAAACGAAATAGAAAAACAAGGTATTTCGACAATTAATTACTTGATTGATTGATTGATTACAAGATTTTATCATGACATGATATCAGTGAGAGAACCATTGGAAAACCCGGCAGTACTGGACAGCCGTCTCTTTAGGCTAGTTTGGGACTCTTCATCAGTACGCACCCACCGCCGGGCTTCGAACCCAGGACCTTCCAGCTACAAAGTGAGCTTGTAGACATTTCAGCCACTTAGAACCGATCCGATGGCGTATAGGCAGAAGATGGAATTCATGGACTGACCATTGCATCGCATCCCGTTAGTTTGATGATTTGCGAGCTCGCCGTGAAACTGTAAAGCACTAGGGGGTGATGAAGATTCCCAAACTAGGGAGAAACAGCTATCCAGTCCTCAAAGGTTTTCCAATGGTCCTCTAAACGACGTCAGCTCATGATGAAAACCTGTAAACGCTTCATATCGTTTGGCGTTGTATTAGTTACAAGTCAGGTCAAAACTTTACAGTCTTTAGTTAATTCAGGTGATTAGAAGATGTGTCACACACACATATCCACTTTTAACTTCAACAGAAGTTGCATTCAAGTGGAGTAAAGAAATCAAAGATTGATGACTTCATTAAGTAATTTAACCTCACACTTAACTGTGTAGACTAATGAAGGTTACGTCAGTGGGATGCATGTGTATACAGTAATCTATAATGGACGATTAGGTGATAATGCCCAAAGGAGGTAGATTTAAACCCTATGCTTACGTTGAATGTAAAATCCTATCCGTCTCCCTCATCATTGATATTTTGTCTTCACGCAGATCACAAACATCTCACCAGCATAGTAGACAATGCCGAGTAGTCAAAGTATGTTCAGTTGACGAGGCTCCAAATGGGACGAAATACGAGTTTCAGATACTACTACAACTAGTCACCACCAACAAGCAAGACTGAGTGGAGACTTATTCTTTTTTAATTGACACAATTTTCATTTTCACACACACACACACACACATTTCAACAGTTTTCTCAACTGGAATTTGATGCAATCAGATAGTGTCAAGGTGATTTTGGTGGGATTTTACGCTAGCGTCCCTCCTAAATTCGATTGGTGGTAATACTTTACGCTGAAGATTTGCCTCATAAGTTCAAGCAGTCAACTTAAAGAGCGAGGCTCCCAGGTTCGAGTTCCAAACAAATCCTGTTGATTTCTAAGAAAAACTTTTCGTTTGACTTACTACTACATAAAGAAGTTGAGACTTCCTACTGCTGGCACAACACAACCTAACTTTTTCTCTTACAGTCTATTAGTTTATATATATTCTACCCATTGTTCTTTACTGCCCGCCATTATTCTTCCCTGGACTTCTCAAAATAAGACTATGCAATATTACGTAGAACACTGAGGACTGTAAGTAAGGGTTAGTAGTATGCCTTTGACTCAGCTAACTGACATTGTTGTTCATAAGCGATGGGCGCCCCATTGGGTCCCATTCTGGCTGTTGCTCTCGGAACTTGATTTTTGTGCTCGAGAACATTTCCCAATATGGCTAAAGAAAAGGTGTAGTTAAAACCATTAACAGTTCGATATTGGACCATCTGGTGCAAACCGGCGTGGAAGAATCCTTCTCTATAATCTACCGGGTGCCTAATAAGTTGCCAAAATCATCCAAGCACCTCATGCTCTAAACATCAGAGGTTATCGTAATTCGCATGAAACAGCCAGTGATTTGTGTGCAAAAGAAGCAAGTCCAGCCAGGCACTACTACTGCCCTGGCCGGCCTTCAGTAGAGACTATAAATTCATGAATTTGTAATATTATCTTCCTGTTATGCACTGGTCGAGTAATTAATAGTCCTGACGCAAGAAGGCGGAAATCAGAGGACCACCAGGTTCACGATGATACTTGTATTTTTCAAACAAGAAAAAACAATGTCACACAAGTGTATGAGCGAATGTTCAAAAATGAACGAATCGATAGACAGTCTTAACATGATTGGTTTTAATGTCATGTGACAACAAGGTCAGACATGTTTGTTTAGTTAGTGGACAGACAAAAACATATTGTCAATTATAATGGAATATCGATCCATATAAACATAGCAACATATAACAGACTGTCAAAAGCAAACACACATATTATGTGGATACATATCACTTTCCTAATTTTTCTGACACTCAGCTTATATTATGTTGATGCTATTGAGATGTAATCTGTTGATATTATTAATTCGATGTTATTTAAACAATAATGTTGTTCATAACACTAGTTCATTCATTCACTGTAATGTACATATAACTGTAGAGCCTGATGATGAATTTACCGAAGAGAGTATTCTTTGTTCAGTATCCATTCTTTTGAAAATTTTAATTGTTGCAAGCAGTTGGCCAAAGTTATCTTGTCTGATACCACCGAACATCGTCTCTACTTATTCACAACTTTTCCCGTATATCTTTTCGTGTAATACCAGAAGAAACTACATAAGAATTTATGCGCATACAACGAAATACAAAATGTCTACTACACACCACCATATTTAGCATGGGTGTTGTGTGATGAAGAGATAGTCAGATATCAGAAAAGAATTTTAAAATTTTTAAATCAGTAATCTGAACTGCAAAATATCAGCAAAGATTATTATTATTATTACATGTATTATCTACGATACTATCTACTTATACTTCATTATGTTTCCACTAACATTCTGTTTATAGTGGTTTCATTATCATTGCTAATATTATTACTATTTTAAATTTTATGTATGTGCATACTGATAAAAAAGGAGCTAAATTGTCGAAATATGTACAAAAAAAGCTGAAAATTCCATTCTGTATAATAATAATTATTATTATTAATATTATTATTACTTCAGCTTCGGTAACTGGTCAGTATCACCAGCTGTCTCACATAACACGTATGACCCTTAGCCAGGTATATTACAAACTGACACGTAGACAAATAAACAATGAATTATCCTTTACTGATGGAATAGCGATCGATATCCAGTCTGAAAATAAACCAATCAGAATTGGCCCACGTAAAATAACGACCACTATTTTATTGATCATGATATATAGACTAATCGACACATCCTTGATGATTTTTGAAGCATATATTAGCGAATGAAATATACTTTGTGACTCACATCGTTGTGTGGCCTGGCTTAGGTAGAGCGTGCTGGAGAAACAGGTAGATTTTGTGTAATGGTGTTGGCGTAGTCAGGTAGCATTCATGATCAGAGCGTCTGTGTTCAACTTGTGTGTCCCTATTTCAATCTCAATTTTAGTGAGAAATGTAAAAGTGGTGACATCATAACACAAATCTATAAAATGTATTTGAGTCCTAACACAACATAGCTTCTTCTTCAAGCAGAAAATGTACAGTAATCATTCACCTACTTGGTTGTCAACTCTCTTGATTGCGTAAGAATACTCCTAATTTTTTAAACACAGTTATCACTCACGCCATTTTATTTACTTATTTTAAGAACTGACAATGACCTTTGACCCCTATTGTCAATTTATGTTACATTATATAAACACCCTAAGTAACTGTAGAGCTTTGAAGTGAAGTTACGAAAAGAGCGGATCTGCTTGTTGACTCGTGTATTCTTAATCAGGTTTATATATGCAAGTAACGACGGCCAAAATGAAGACATTAGCTGTATGAATTTCTTCTGAAACACATAGGTTTGGCTTCTCCAAAGATGAATTCCGATGGCTTCAGCTCTATATGGAGAAAACAGGCTTGTAAAGCAAAATCTAAATTAATTGAAATGCGTAAATAACTTTAAATGTTGTCTAAACATTAACTTTAGGCTCACTGCCTACAAGGTGTGTTAAACTGAGCTACGAATAGGTCTTTTTTATCCCTTGCTGAATCATATAGGATGATGTTCGGAAACGTGATCATGCATCTGGCAACTTTGACTGCAATTGCAGAGCCAGCTAAAATTGGACGTACAATAAGGCAGATTGGTCATCGACTTCTTAAATGCATGAAATGAAATTTTATGTAATTGTAGTTGTAATTATTTGAACAGTATTAACAATTCTATATATATATATATATATATATATATATATATATATATATATATATATATATACATGCTATGGTCGCCACTGCTAGAATCCAATTGTTATTATTTACACAAACATTTATCGAAAACAATTGTTAAACTGTGAAACTATGTGATTATTGCCTGAATTTTGGTACACAGCTGGAGGTCAATTATCTAGATAAACAACTAGCAATCACAATTACTACCTTGGTTCAAGACATGCCATGTATGTACCATATAAAAAGACATCATCAAAACGGTCTTTTAAAAAGAGAGATGTAGTTTCACAGCCTAGCAGTAGGACACGTGTACGTTAGCCTGTTAGTTAGTTAAAAAAACAATTATCCACCCATGGTTGAGAGTTGGTGATATTACCCAGGTAGCCTAGACTGAAAAAGCTACAACAAGATTCGAAACATGAACTCATCGATTAAAAGCCAAGTGTGCTGAAGCTACTAGGCCACAACTCTACCTACGCGCGTAGTACCTAAGTGATTGTCATATTTTATGACTGACAAGACCAACAAACCTGGGCATTGTGGTAGAGTATAACTTCAATACGGATAAAAATTTTATTTTGATAAAGTCTTACAGTGTTATATAGTAAAATTTACTGACGATCACGTTTCGAGCACAATTAATTGCTGCAACTCATAATCATATCAAGGCACTACTCACACAACTTTCCAACTTCGTTTATATATAATTCCATCATTATTCTGCATCGCTTGACTTCATTGGTAGTAGTATTTTCTATAATTCTGGTATCAGTGAGGAGTCATTCCTGTTGCATGTGTTCGAGTGTAGATTCGATGAATAAAGATTCAGTGACCAACCTCTCTCTCTCCATCTACCTATATTACCTTTTTAGAATTTTAATCCTCTCCCACCCACCCTATGGTGTGGTTGTGTCTTTATGGGTGCAATGGAATTATTGCTGAACTTTCTTCTAAATTACTTATCTTCGTAAGATCAATCATTCTAACCTTAGCTAAATTTTTACGGTCTGGCAATCTAACTACCCCCGATCTACTGTTCTGACCTATAAAGTTGACTTCACACACACACATACATTGCATGGTATTTTGTAAATTATTGCGTCAGTAGAGTCCTTTAGCCTACAGAACTTATCGTTGAGTGGGTTTGTAGGTGTGAATGCCACTACCCTAATTCCTGTTCTAAAATGTCCCTTCCTTATAAAGTAAAAGTGTGGATGCCTTATTTTCTTCCTTATTTATGTTATCATTATTAGTTTCACCATTATTTTTACTTTGCTTCTAATCTTTTTTGATATTCCTAATGAATTTCATAGGATAGTTAGTTATCTAACACCAACGCCTCTTCTGAATATCTATTGGCAGAATGCACTGGGCTCTTTATAAACACTAGTGTGGAGTTTGCCGCCTTCTTCCGTTCGTTTCTTTTTACAATATAACATAGCTAATTCCCTTTGTTCAATATGATTATGAGCTGCAGTAATAAATTGTGCTCGAAAGGTGGTCATCAGTAAATATAACTGTATAACACTATGTGACTTTATGAAAAATACAAATTTTATCCATAATCGAGCAATTACATCTTTATTGGAGAAAATCTATTCGATTTCATGCATTGTGTAGTGTCTAGGTTGTATATTGAATGACCACTAGTGAAACTGACAAACACACGACACAAGTGCAAGCAAATGGTTGGTAGTTTCCCCCATCAGACTAGCCCCACCTGAGGCATACATGTAACCACAAGACTACGATAATCAATAAAATGAGGCAACGTAAATACAATAAAACTTGTGCACTGTGGTAGAGTGTAATTCCATTATAGGTAAATTTGGTTTTGATAAAGTTTCAGTGTTTGTTATATAGTTATGTTTACTGAGCACCACGTTTCGAGCACAATTTATTGCTCATAATCATATCACGGTAAAGCAGGAATTAGGGTGTCATTCAAACCTACAAACTCACTCAGAGATAAGCTCTGTATGTTAAAAGACCCAGTAGGCCCGATTAGACAAAGAAATAATTTATAAAATTCCTTGAAATAATTATTAGTTAAGTCTACTACATCGGTAGTCAGATTGTCAGAACATAAGAATTTAGCTAAGGTAATAATGGTTGACCCCGAGAAGAAAAGTAATTTAGAAAAAAGCTCAGCAATTGCAATGCATGCATTAACAAACAAACACACAATAGGGTGGGAGAGGGTTAAAATTATAAAATGTAATGGATTCAGGAGAAACAAGTCATGTATTGATCAAATCGCCACTCTACGGATCATCATTGAACAAAGCTTCGAATGGCAGTCACTTCTCTATCTCAACTTCACCAACTTTGAAAAGGCCTTCGACAGACAGCGTCGATCGAGAGGTCATTTGGCAACTACTTCGCTACTACGGGGTCCCATCGACAATTATACATCTCATCCAACAGTTATACAACAATGATGTATGCCAAGTAATCCACAACGGGAAACTTACGGAATCCTTCGAAGTGAGGACGGGAGTGAGACAAGGCTGTCTACTATCGCCAATGATCTTCCTGATTGCAGTAGATTGGATAATGAGACAGACAACGGGCAATGAGGAAACAGCCATAAAATGGACTCACACAAAAAACTTTGAGGATCTGGACTTCGCCAGCGATGATATATGTCTGATTTCCCACAAACTGGAAGATATGCAAGTGAAAAGCAACAAGCTGGCGACAGAAGAAGCATCAAAGATAGGACTTCAAGTGAACATAGATGAAATAGAGGTGATGAAGATTCCTGGCCAACACCAACAGCAACAACAACAACAACAATCAGAATAAATGGGAGAAATCTGAAAGAAGAAACCCCCTTCACCTACCCACCTACGGGCGGAACTGACGAGGATATCAAAACAAGGATCGATCGGAAAAGCAAGACAAGCTTTCACTACTCTCAAGTCTGTGTGGAGGTCAACAGCAATCAGCATCAAAAATAAGATCCGGATTTTCAACTCCAATGTGAGGTCAGTCAGTGCTACTATACGGATCAGAGACTTGGCAGGTGATAAAGAGCACCTCGAACGAACTACAGACCTTCATCAACATCTGTCTTCGCTCAATACTACTCAAGATCAGATGGACGGACAGAAAAGATCAGCAACAGGGATCTCTGGTAATGAGCGAACCAACCAGGAACCGATTGTGCAACAAATAAGTAGGAAGGAATAGAGGTGGATTGGCCATATTCTGAGGAAACCATGAAGTGACATCACTAGACAAGCCATCGCTTGAGTGGAACTCGAAAGGAAAGCGGTGAGTTGGCCGTCAGTGCAAGGGTGACTTGGAGGAGGTCATGTTAAGAGGAGATGAAAGCATGTGGGCAGACTTGGAGCGAGGTGAAAAAGTTGTCAGAAAACCAAACGCAATGGAGACGCGCAGTTGAAGCCCTATGTTCCTCTAGGAATTAAAGGATATAATAATAATAATGCAGGTAGGTTGATCACTGAATCCTGCTTGGTTCATCGAGTCTACACTCCAACACCTGCAACAGGAATGGCTCATCACTCATACCTGAAATATGGAAAATACTACTACCAATCAAATCAAGTGAAAAACAATGGAACTATATAAATGAAGTTATGAAGTCGTGTGAGTACCTTTATAGGATTTTGAGCTGTAGTAATAAATTGTGCTCGAAACGTGGTCGTATCAGTAAATATTACTGTATAACGACGCTGTTTGAGACTTTATCAAAAAAACAAACCCAAATAAGAAAAAGAAAAAGCCTACTTGACAATCGCTTGTTTCATCATCAGGTAAACTTCCATACAGGTCAGGATTTTCAAATTCTCGACGCAACTGACCATTTTCTTGTTCTAAATCTTTAATACGTAACAGCATACTAGCTCGATTGGTAATCAAAGCATTCAGTTCAGAGGAGAATTGAAAATTTTGACTAAAAATGAAAGACACAAGCAAAAATAAATTTGATTCGATTTAATGTTAAGGAAGATAAACATTGATTTTTTTTTCAAAATGCATGATAGCAGTATAGTTGGATTAAAGTATCCTTTAAGGACTAAGTAATCGATTGTATAGAGGAATGAAAATTCACTACTCTGATTACATAATCTACAAAAGTATCATAAAACGACGTCTGAGAAACTAATAGATGGTTAGACTGAAAATTGATCACTATCTCAAATGTGTATTAAGCATTTTTTTTAGCTTCCCAAAGATTCATTATTTATTATTATTATTTTCTATAGTTAGTTTGTAAGGATTAGTTTTGCTTTTAAGAGTTGATCACGGATTAATATCAGTTAGAGAAGCATTGGAAACCAAATAACATAAATATCTTTAATCCGCCACGACCCATGTCGTGGACTGACCACCTCTCTCCGCTTTTCCATCCCATCCCAGGGTTAGCGAACAGAGACATGTACACCAGCACCTGGAATGACATTCGCAGCACATGTCCACATCACCGAAGCTGGCGTTTCTAGATGACGACGACACTCAACGAATGGTGATCTCTACTGTGTTCAAACACACGCCTCACCTCCTTTAGAGGTGACTTCAGAATGTCATCGATGGCAAAGTTAACGAGAAATGGAGAGATTGGACAACCCTGTCTAACATCACTGTTGGTTGGGAACAGTGATGATAGTTGGTTGTATGCCTTCACTCTACCTGAGGTGTTTCTGTATAGGCCTTTCAAGATGTTAACAAGTTTCTCAGGTACACCTCTCTCTAACAGACAGTTCCAGAGCACAGTTCTGTCCAATGAATCGAAGGTAGCCCTAATATCAAGAAACACAACGATTGTTGGCCTGCAATACGTGTAGCGGTGTTCCAATACCTGACAAAGGGTGAACACATGGTCAATGCATTCACGACCTGACCGAAACCCAGCCTGTTCTTTGAGAATCAATCCCTCATGCGTTTTGCACAACCTGAGAAGCAAGACAGCAGCCAATATTTAAGATGCAACTGGTAGCAGACTGATACCCACTATGGTTGTCGCATGAGTTACGTCAACTCTTTTTAAACATGGATACGATAATGGCTTAATTCCACATTGATGGTACGTTCTCAACCTTACATACTTTCCTGAATAATCCAGTTAAAGACATGGCAAGAGTCTCACCACCATCTTTACAAAGAGCCGGGGTATGTTATCTGAGCAGGATCTTTCCAAAGTCGTCTAGACTTAATGCTCATCTCTGTCTTAGTCACAAAATCCAATGTCCCACCGATTCTATTGATTTTACAGAATTAAAATTCATCCTTGGTAAATAAGTCAATTTGAGGTGTAAATCTATTGCAGTTTCCTTTAGAAGCCGAAAACACTGACATCGCAGTTGTGTGATCTGATTGACTAAATTCCAATATAGAAATTTGCACAGAAGTGCAGCAGTTCGACCTTCTACATACCATGTAGTAGCCAAATGTAGAAAACAGAAATTCAAAGGAAGTATGATAAGCAGAAAGCATATTAGCACTGAAAAAGAGGGTTTATTGAATGAGGCAAGGAGTGAGTACATGTGCACCATTGAGAACGATTTTCAGCTATATCACCAATAGTCTTAAATCATTACTTCTTAGCATTCCAAGGAACCCAACCAAGGCAGTCAACAGGCCTCTTCGTGGCTCAAACTAACTGTCATGGAATTCATGGACTGATGACAGGTTTTCGTTTGACCACCCTCAACACTTCTCCAACCTACTCTTATGTCAGTTAACACTGTTTGACGAGGAAGGGAAGCAAGGCGGTGGCTATGCCCAAAGACTGCTAACCTTCTTCATGTCTTTCACTTTTAATGGCCATGTCTCACAACCATAAAGGAGGACGGAGCAAAGTGCTGAGCAGTACACATGTCCTTTGATCGATAGCCAGCCGGATATATCAAGGCTAAACCAGAAATGATATAGTTTGGCAAATACCACGCGAAGCTTTTCTATCCGTGCTGCGATTTTGTCAGCGAGAATTGCAAAAGAAGGCAAAGAGAAGATATGGTAGGAATCTGCAAAAGTAGATGGAGTGGGAGTGAACTCTGCAAATTCCTAACTGAAGAGTCAAGAAGTTACTGCAGTCACACAGGACACACATGCAAACAAATTGAGGGTGTGGTTGTCATTCTTTCACGGATAGTATAGAAGAAACTAATGCAGTGGGAACCAATCTCTACCAGGATTATCACAGCAAGATTTAAATTAAAGCAAAGAATAGTTTAGATAAAATAAATTCCCATGAGGGTGATCCATCTCTCATAAATGACTTAGTATGGCCAAGGGTGCATAGACTTAGGTCTTTATATAGAAATACTGTTATGTTACCACATGTTGACAGCCTCTACCAGGTAAATCCTATTCACACAGCAAAGGAGTTCCTCACAAAAACTGAAAGGACGTTATCAAACGTATGAAGCTTACCACTGGACAAGTGGAAATGCAGCTTCATCTGGAGGAACTGCGAAAACCCTAATTCTAAATCTATGCGGTACATGGGTTTCAGAATCCAAAAGAATCGAATAGCACATGACCTTGTTTTGGCCGCCAGAAACCATGAGTACATAGTTCCTGACTTTGCACCATTACTGTCTTGTGAATGAGACTTAAAGACAAAGACACAAGAAGCTGACACAATAAAACAACCAGTACCCCAGCTTTCGTCCAAACTATGATATTCTGCCTCATGCATCTCTTAGTGCTCCTATTATACCAAGTTTGAGTTCTAGTAATTAAACAACACTGATAATCAATATATTTAATCTGAAAGTATTCAAAGTCATCAGTTTAGCATCGGAGCAACAATTTAGATGCTAATTATAAGATTATACCGTAACTATGGATATGGTAATCATGATTTCCTAAATTTAGGATACACAATGAATACCCAAATAAACAACAGTGCTTTAGAATTTTAATTTCAGTAAAGTGAGAATGCATGAAATTCAATCTAAAAAGAAGTAAAAAATTCTATATCAGTGTAATCATATCCTATAACAAACACTATGCTCAGGTAATTCGAATCCAGTAAAAGAAAGATAAAAATTTTGATCAGAAAATTCGAAACCAGGAAACAATAATTATGATAAATAGTGTTATTCACCTATCACATGAAGGTTAATGCATTTAGAAATTGTCTGTATGTATGTGTGTGTGTGTGTTAGAGGGCTACTTATCTGACAAAATGTCGATAGGTTGAGTAGGTTTCAAACCGGTTGGAAGTCGAATATTTAATCCAGAGAGGGAATAATAACAACTCCACTATAATGGGACACTAAGGAGTATCAGATTTCTTTCACAGTTAATCTTATAAAGCGTTATGAGGTTAACTTCCACACTTTGGTAAAAGATCATGATATCCGTGGATTTCTTTGTAAAGTCTTCACTTACACCTCAACTGATTGCATTCCGGATGAAATAATGGATGAGAGCGATCAAAAGCTCAAAACAGGTAATTCAGCGAAGAGACTGTCTTTCAACGAATTTATTATCAAGCTGTACAATCGTATATATATATATATATATATATATATATATATATGAAATTATATCCGGTGAAGGAATGGAATCATAGGTGTGAATACGTGAAATAATAATAGTAGTATGAAATGCAATTAAAATATTTCTTGCGGGATTTCATCATGAGCTGACATTGGCCAGAAAGCCATTGGAAAATCTGGGATGACTGGACAGCCGTTTCGTCCTAGTTTGGGACTCTTCAGCGGTGCGCACCCACCACCACAGTTCGAACCCAGGACCTTCTGGTTACAAGGTGAGCTTGTAGACCATTAAGCCATTGGGACCCGATCCAATCGCCCATGAATTCTAACTTCTGCCAATTCACGATATGGCGCAACGGCTAGCCAATGTCATGTCTGGCGAGTATTTGTCCTCACACCCGACCTGCTGCACCCTCCTGGTCACGACTTCCCACTGGAACCCCAGGTAACTACCTACCTGAATAGAGCCAGTCGCCCTATAATCATAGTTAAATGTCCAATGGCAAAACAGTGTGGGTTTATCAATTCACCTGCTCGTGTGGAGCTAGGTATATCGACCATTTGACTTAAGTTTTGTCCAAAAGGGTGCAAAAAACACTATACTGCATGATAGTTACAAAGAGGTCGAAGTGGAGCAATAAGAAGCGTGATCATTGAATATCTTGTCGATAATGATCACCCTATCTCAACAGCCGTGAGTCGGTGGCATAGCGGTTAGAACGCTCGCCGACCATGTACATGGTCCGGGGTTTGATCCCCGGCCGACTCACTCCTTTACCTCTCTAAGCCAGTAATAATGCTGGTAAAGAGGAAAGGTTGGGCATAAGGCTAGCAACCCCATCCTGTAAAATAAACACTGCTACAGAAACTTCAAGCCACTAGCTTGAAGCCTTATGTTCCACTGGGAACGTGAAGGAAGAAAATTTAAAAAAAAATTTCAAAAACCTCGACAGCCTCTGCCTTTGAAGTCATCTACCAGGCGACAAGTTATTTGCTCAAATCACTACTTACTCGAATCATCTGTATATTGCTGAACCCATCTTTGGCTATCGAAACAGAAAAGCCAGATCTCTGTATACAGAAAAAATCCGTTCAACCCCTGCAACTTTCGTGGTCCTAATCCCTCTATGCAAAAGTATGGTAATCCCTAATCATATTTTGGCTATACTAATTTTTCCGTTGCTTATCCAATTTGTATACTCTTGCTTTATTAGGTCAAATGTTACTATCAGTGTCCTCACTTTGAACTGTCCCCAGTATTATTTCACTTGTTCCATTTGTCATTTTAAATCACTTCTGTTTTGCAACAATAAATTCTATGCTATCAAATTTCACACAATGTTACATAATTTTTTTTATTTTTATTTAATTAGATTTGCCTGCTAATCCTATAATTGCACATCCCCTTTCCAACATCTATATATACCCTATGAATTATTCTATA